CATTGAGGCAAGCTGAAGGTGGTGGTTCATCACTGACCCTGGCACCTGTTCCAGATGCCTTCATCAGCACCTCCCTGCTCGGCGTCGGGTTATTCATTAGAGTCCGACACTTACTCAGTGCAGTCGAGGGCTTCTTCACGCAGGTCTACTTCGCAGCACCGGGCCAGGCACCTACTTTAGGGGCACACTGTCGGGAACCCCTTTAGCGACGGCTCCCATCTCTGAGGATAGGAGAAGCCCACAAAAAGAAACACAAGAGTCTCCAGGTGAGGGCCCAGGGCCCCAACATCAGTGTTGCAGGCAGCGAAATCACCCGTGCTCAGGGATTCATTGTCAACCTTCCTTAATAGGGCAGGACCTGCTAAAGCCTCACCTATGGATGCCAGCACCCATCAGGAGCTGCTCTGTAGGCTAGCAGCCAATTTGGAAGTCCAAGCGGAGGCAGTGACTGAAGATGCTGACCCTATAGTGGACATCTTAACGGTGGACACCCCTCTGAAATCGGCATTGCCACTGAATAAGACGGTGTCAAAGATCGCCAATAATTGGTGGCAGACACCAGCATCCAGTCTGCCTTCCCAGAAGGAAGTGGATAGACGTGGTTTGTCCCCAGTTGGGACATGAGCATTTTACTCCCTTATGGTGCAGGGTGTCGGTCAGAAGGAGAGGCAAGATCAGCTAGTGCCAAGACCAAAGAGTAGGGAGCCAAAGAGACTTGACCTGCTGGGTAGGAAGGCGTATGCTCTGGAGGGCCTGCAACTGCGCATCGCCAACCAACAGGCAATGCTAAGCAGGTAGGCATACAGCACCTGGTTGGCAGTGGACAAATTCAGGGATCATCTCCCTCAGGGCTCCCGTCAAGAGTTTGTGGGCTGTTGGGGGGGTAGAGCGATTTCCCGTGTAGCGGTACAGGCCACACTAGATGTGGTGGATTCAGCAATACATACTGTGGCTACTGGTATTGTAATGCACCATAGTGTCTGGTTAAGTGTCAGGCATACCCCCGGAGGTCCAGGACACGCCGCAGGACCTGCTGTTTGAGGGGACAGGCCTGTTCTCACAACAGACACATGCCAAGCTTCATCATTTGAAAAACTCCAGGGCCACTGTGAGGTCCTTAGGCATCCATACCCCTGCACCACACAGACATACTTATACCCCGTTGCCCCCATCATGCTGATCTACCAAGGTTATAGGTCAGGCCAAGGAAGGTGTGGGGGCAGGGATAATGGCAGTAATAATGCTAGTGGGCGCAATAGGAGGAGGAAGTCACGCTCTGACTCCGAGAGGGGTAATGGGCCGCCCCCTCCTCAACTGCCCAAGTCTTCATTTTGAAGAGATGCAGGAGGACAGAATACCAGTTCCACCCTTCGGGGACGGGCTGTCCCATTTTTACCAGGTCTGGGCCCAAATTGCAACCAACTGTTGGGTGGTGAGCCTGGTGGCAGTGGGGTATGCTATCCCTTTCCACTCCCATATCCATCCCTCTTCAGGGACCCCTCTCATGAGCATCTCTTATATCAACAGGTGTCCTCACTTCTACAGTTGGGGGCTGTGGAGGAGGTCCCTCCCGATTTCAGAGGGAGGGGTTTCTGTTTTCATTACTTCCTTATCCTGAAATTGAAGGGAGGCTTCAGACCCATTTTGGACCTGAAAGTCATCAACACCTTCATAACAAAGACAAGGCTCAGGATGGTCACATTGGCTGCCAGTATCCCTTCCCTGGGGAAAAGGGACTGGTGTGCTGCCCTTGATCTGAAAGACGCATATTTTCATATCTCCATAATACCAGCCCACAAGAGGTTTCTCAAGTTTACGATACAAGACCATTTTCAGTTTTTGGTCCTCCACTTTGGTCTGACAACAGCACCAAGGGTCTTTTCAAAGTGTATGGCCTCCGTTGCCGCCTTCCATATGAGGCGCAGAGTTCAAGTATTTCCCTACCTGGACGATTAGCTATCAGGGGATTTTCAAGGGACCAGCTGTTACAACAAGTAGATCTTGTCAAAAGTCTGTTTCGCAGACTCAGCCTCCTCATAAAGGTCCTGGAGAAGGTCCAGGTAGGGATCGTCAAATTGAGGAAGTAAATGCGTGGTTGCGCAGGTGGTGTTGGAGAGAGGGCTTTGGTTTCTTGGACTATGGGACTCTGTCCTGAGCATGGAGATTGTTAGGAAGAGATGGGATCCACCTAACCAAGAGGGGAAAGAGCATCTTTGTGGGTAGGCTTGCAAATCTAGTGAGGAGGGATTTAAACCAGGTTAATTGGGGGACGGTTACCAAAGCCCTGAGGTAAGTGCGGAAGTTGGATACTGGGAAGAAACACAAGGAGGAA